CCCTAAACCCTAAATTCGAAACTCCAAGACCCGTAACTCCGACTATGAACTGAAACTCACTTGTGGATCCCTTAAGTCCTTCTTTGGGGCTTGGGGCTTAGGGTGCAGGATTTTCGCATTAGAATTTGCGGTACTACAGACAAGCCAAATCTCAGCATTCTACTGCAACCTGGTTCACTAAAGGGTTAAGGAGCCTGCTTATACAGGGCGACAATAGGTTATCCGCCGAGTTTTGGAGGCGTGGCAGGGGGTGCCCGGGCTGCGTTTTTCTGGAAGTCCCCACATCGGAGCCAACCATCCGAGCCGACTTCCACGCGATGAGCAGGGGGGGATCCCTAAGGGTCCAAGGACCCAATACTAGAATATTAATGGTATTTGGGAACAGCAACCCTGTTATTTGGGTCCTTGGACCTTTAGGGGATGTTCTCAAAACTGCTTGTGCCCGGACTCACTGGCAGCCTGGCTTGATCTTCTCTCGCTGGCACCAGTTGGTCTCTTGCCCAGTCCCTGAAACTGTGGGTGGCGCCAAAATGTTTCGAAAACAATGCAACATCGTGAATTTGGCCGCCACGCTGCTACTGCAATGTCGGCTGTATTGGCGTGAAACTGCTTCCCGTTAGACTTGTCATGTGACTTCTGCTATCTCGTCTTACCAAGGACAGCCTAACTACCATTGGGATCGGAGAGGGCCCCCCGGACCCCACCCCAAAGGCGGCTTGCAATCAACACGCGCTCTCTACACCACGGAGGGATTTTCGAAGGATTTGTCTGGTCCCCCCAGGACCCCCAAAGAAACATCATGAGCCAAACATCATGAGCTGTTTTGAAAACCAGCCCCAATGCCCGTCTTGGGCCAGAGCTGAGAACATGTAGATGTGTATGGATATTGGGGGCCCCAAAATCCCAAAATCGAGACCCTAAGATGCTGATACGCTCTGGCTAAGGGGGCCAGCATCAGCATCATGGGAGGTCCGCTTCTCCTTTTTTGGGGATTCTAGTCTGCCCAAGCGCTCTGAAACAGACATTGTGTTGGGGCGACTGACTTCACGCGCCCGCGGCACAATTCTGGGGCGGGCCTTGACAAGCTAAATCTGCACGCAGTTTGCCCTGACGTTGACCATCCCCGGCGACAGCCCATAAATCCGGCCCGGCTGTCGTGGTACGTTGTGGAGGAACGCCTCTCTACAGTCTTTTAGACGGCGTGATGCCAAAGCAGCCGATCGCTGCCAGGAAATTGCCTTTAATGCAAAGGGTGTCAAAGCTCAAGACGTTTTTGGACGAGTTTTTGAAGCTTCCCCGCGTGCTACGGAAATGGTGGGGCAGTTTTCCGGGCCAGCATCATCAGCACACATGGGCCTTTGCTTCCCATGAACGTCCTTCGGGTGTTGAAGGGGTGCTGGATCCTCTCATGCATGGTATCAAGAGGAATGGGGGGCCAAGAGAGGCCCCTTGATGCTCATGATGTTAGGTTCCTCGAGGCTGCCAGGGCTCAAAATATGTGTCGTCGGCAATCATTTGTGGCTGTAAAGGCGTTGCCCGAGCCAAGCCCTGCAAACTGCGCCTTTTGCATGGCCTGTTGCACGTATTTCCAAAACTCTGGAAGCTTTTTAAGCTACCGTTACGCCATGTCGGGCAACATTCTTACCTTCAAAAAGGACAATGTGAGCCAGAACACGGCAGGTTGACAGATTTGCGTGAAGAGAAGCATTCGAAGCACTTTGCATTGTTTTGGGTGGGTTTCCAAACCCTCCTGATCCTAATTCATCATCACAACGGGACCCAATTTTAGGCTGAATCAAGGTCAGATGGGCTAAAAAACCCGCATAACCATCGAAAGTAGCAAGAACAGCACCTTCACAAATGCTTCTCATGACCGGGAGCATCATCAGCACACTTGGGACTGTGTTTTGGGCTTCAGAAGGTGCACAGCCAGGCAGGCCCACGCGGCCAGGATGTAATATAGTATCCCCCTATAATGGAGAATCAAATGGAAAAGAACATGGAAAATGAAATGGAAACTGAGGGAATATAAGGATTTAAGGAACATAAATTAAGTTACTATAACCCAGGTCCAGGGATGCCCAAGGAGCGCAAACATGTGCTTGTTTTAGATTTTAGGGTTTACGTACTTTGAGTTCTGCCTGAGCTTTCGTACATCTTCGCGCAATGAATCTTTGAGGTTACACATAATCTTAAACCCAAATCATAAACCCTAAACTTCAATGTCTGAAACAAAGTCAGGGAGCGTAGCCCAAGGGGCTCCAGGCAGGCGTTCTTCCTCAGCGCAGCACGAATGTGTCATCCACCGAGCACTCAAGTCAAATATGGAAGTTTCAAGGGGGCTCCGTATGAGGCGGCCTCGTATCGGGTGGCCTGCATAGTTCTTAGAGTTTCCCAAGAGAGGAACACCCTCAGAGGCCCCTTAAGAGATGCAGCGATGGGATTTTGGGTTTAGGGTTTAGGGTCTTAATTCTGGGTTAACTACAATAACTTCAAATCCCGGAATGCAGCCATGTAGGGATTACTTCCTGTAGGAGCTTCCCATTTCTGTTGCGTCTTCATAGATTGCCCAGCTTGTTGCGTGGGGGACATCTTGAGAAACCCCCATCCACCAGTACCTGCAGCTGACTGGGAGCCTGATATAGAGGAATTACAGTGAGCGGCCCTAGGGGTGATAAGGGGATTTTGGAGAACCAAATTGAAAAAAAAACGGAAAATTAAGTGAAGCTCAAGCTTTGCACACGGTGACAAACCTCCTCCTGCGACTTAAAGTAATTAGCGCGTTCAAAGTATCTTGGGGAGGGCTAGGGCGCCCAGCGCGCCCCAACGAAATGTTGACTTTACAAATCATTTCAGGTGACATGAGCCCCCAGCTTGTCCGCCCTTCAGTGGTACTATCTGGGCTGATGTGGTAATTAGTCGGTACGGGCCTTCACTACAACAGAAAAGCGGGATGGCTTGCGCACGGCTACTTCCCGATAGGTGATTCGCTCCTGGTACGCATGTCTGATTGGAACAAGTTTTTGCAGTTTGTGACCTCTTTTAGGACTCCGCCATCTTTGCTGATCTTACGTGTTTTCTGCAAGGCTCCGCGGGATCATGTGACGATGCCTGTGCAGGGAGATGCCAACATATGGCATGTTATGGCTATTGCAACAGAGAGCTTAACCTGAATTTGAAAAGGGTGCCGGCGAGAAAACTTGCGGCATTGCGGGACCCCTACGTGGGCAAGTCGGAGGTTTGCTACCAGGGGCTTGAAGTGGTGGGTATAAGTGCAATGGCGCCAAGTTGCGTTTCAACAGAGCTACATGATGCGACGTTGCAATCCCATGCTTGTCAGATTTCCATCTCAGCTTAGCACAACTACGATTTGCGCTTCCAAGCCATGCAGGTTTTGCTACGCACTACATGGGTGGTTGTCAAAATTATGGGCCCTTTTGGAATCCCTACTATAATTCGGCACCTAATATTTAGGGTACCCAAAAAGGGACCCTAATTTTGACAACCACCCATATACAACCTTCCATTTGGGTCTTCGCTCCGCCTCTGCGAGTTGGGATCTTGTTTTCAGGATTTGGGAATGAGAGCTGGCTCTAAGCCCAAACCCTCAACCTTCAACAATCGCACAAGTTGCCTGGGGATCCCAGATCCAAGGGTTACCGCACATCATCTTGGGAGCATCTGCTACAGGGATAAATGCAGAATTCGCAGGTTCTGCAGGCTAGAGGTAAGCGTTACAACAGCACCCCCTAATCACCCATATACCATATGGTATGATTTAGAGAGTAGATCCTGGTCAAGGTTTTTTTGAACTTGTAAATCTACCCAATAATAATATACATGGTCCGAAACTGGGGCGGCTCTACTTCGAAGATCCTCCCCAGGGGTCTGGGTTCACTGGGTGCAGACAGCAAACGATTGGGAGGCTCATTGGGGATACACTTCCTTACAGGTAGATCCCAACCCAAAAGGGAACCTACCTTATGGCCACTTACAGGAAATTTGCACAACTACCAATTGCGGAGCCATGCGGATGTTATCAATTTTGCTGATTCTTGTTTGGAAAGGTGAAGGCCATTTTGCTGTTGACAAATTGCACGATCCTAACTTCCGTAGATGCGCTCACGACGCCAAAGCCGAAAGAACCAGTAGAAGTTATTGCTGCACTTGTTTTTCTCTCTCTCTCTCTCTCTCACACACACACAACAGGGCGCTGTTCTTGCTGTCGCTACGGGAACCCATGCGGCATTTCACTAGCCAGTAAGGAGTTTGATTTATTGATGGTGGGCCCACGCAGGCTCCGTGGGAACTTCCAGAGCGAAAAGCTCATGAAGGACTTTACCGTGTCAGTGAAAAGCAAAAATCCCATAAATTAGCTCACCCCCACATACTCATTTCTGTAGGTACCCCCAATAAGGGGAACCCTGAAGTTGCTAGGTACCCTCTACAAGGGAACCTCGTCCGAGGCCCGGACGTTGCTGCTGGCGTTGAGATAAATCACCTTTTTAATTTGTGCATCCACCGTGAAACTAGTACTGTCCATCACATGTTGCAATGTGTATGGTTAGAGGCCTGACCCAATAATCGTTGGTCCTCGTGGTTTAATCGGTTTTAAGTGTGCAAACACTTGAACCGAGCCCGTGATCCAAGCTTAAACGTTCTAACGTTTTACACTGTACTATCCATCACATGTTGCAATGTATGGTTCGAGGTCTCACCCAATCATCGTTGGACCTCGTGGTTTAAATAGTTTGAACCGTTTTAAAGTTTAAGCGGAGCCCATGGTCCAAGTTTGAACGCTCAAACATGCTCACCCCTCACCGCCTTCCAAGTTAGGTTCATTTGATGACCCTTAGCTCAACTCCATCTGGACACGGGGCTGCGCGTGTAGCTTTGCTAATGAAGTTGGGGAGGGAGGGGGGGAGGGGGGGGGGGTGGGCGTAGAGAGGGC